CCTTGTTTAAGTTGGTGAATGCTGCCATAATCATTGCCTTCAGTTCATTTTTAGTGTTACAAGGAATTTTGTTGGTCTCTTGCTCAACTACGCCGACACTTATTAATCAACGGGAGTTATCTGGCCAGATGTATGGGGTGATATGGTCGAAGAAATTGTCTGACAGCCATGACTGGGTTCTCCATCTTATGTAGCATGAGCCCTGTTGCCAAACATAGGGCCTTCCAGCAGCCACCCCCTTGATCCAGGCCAGCACTTCCTCCTCAAGGCATTTGATGTAGGCCTCCGTGTTGAAACTGAGGCCCTCACCAACAAATTCGGGAGTTCTTTTCTTATCCGAACGATCATAATGAGTTTTCACCTTCGTAATCACCATTAGACTCATCCAACATTTTCCGAACCCACTGCACTGTCCTCAAATTGATACCCAAACACGCTAAATTGTTCGTATTGCAGCTATCGGCGCTAAGCAGTTCAGAATGCCGTTTCCAAATTTCTGGTGGAGTGAATTGCATTATGGTACTCTTTTTTTCTCACAGACGGTAACCGACGGACCCTACTGTACCATTATACTGTACAGCCAACAAAATCAAAAACGAACAACGCGCATGCGCAAAATTAAAAAAAAAATATACAATGGCAAAAATGTATCCATCGCACCATATATATATATATATAAAATAGCTGGCCACACGTATTCGAGGATACCCGTCTCGCAGGGCAGCTAGCCAATCCATATTGCAGACGCTCGCTCAGGCACATTTTTATTTGCTCAACACCCACAGAGCCCAACTTGCTTTATACTGCATTTATGCTGAGCAGACCGTAGTTAGTTTCTGGGTGAGATCGTGTTATCTAGCGTATTCAACAATTTGATCAAGGCCAGCACGCTGAATCCCTCTGTCACGATGACATGTGGTTTTGTGCTCGCACGGCTATCGACGGCTCTCAAGAGTTCCGTCTACTCAATTTCACTCACAAAGCCTGGGTCAACCAGGAGTATGGGTTTCAGGCATTTTCCAAAGGGTGCCGCACTCTGGGGTCGACCTCGATCCATTCGGATAACATCAGGAAGCAAAAGTTCTAACCACTCTATATACGCGCCCATTATATATATATATATATATATGATTTTATATATATATATATATATATATATATATATATATATATATATATATATATATATATATATATATATATATGATTATATGATTATATATATATATATATATATATACACACACACACATACTGACGTGCCAGAAGTCATTGGATAGTTTTATGAAAAAGTAATAGTATGTAGTACTATCATATTTCGACATCATGGAAATACCCAGGTTTTTTATCAGTTGTGCTTTGAATATGGTGATTCAGTGTGAACACCGGCTCAGTTGTTCATGTAAAGGCAACGTGAATTATCGGAGTTCGAATGCAGCGTGATAGTGTGAAACAGATTTGAAATTTCATTTTTGAAATCTATGACGTTTGATCTATACTGGGGATACTTGATGGAAGACATTGCTGCTCACATTAGACAGTGTAGTAGTCGACTTCGTCTTCAGTGATCGTGATTAGAGGCGTCTTCTTTGAAGTGATACATTTCTTTTAGGTTAAAGTTCATGCAATTTATATATATATATATATATATATATATATATATATATATATATATATATATATGTTTCTTTAAATATTTCGTATTGTTCTAAATTTTTGCAATTTATTTCAGTTTTTGTTATATTAAACATTTTCAATCTAATTTCTCTTAAATATTTGCCCCAAATCATTTTCCCCTTTTCACAATTGAACTTTTTCCCGTCTTTAACGTAAAATTTTTTTTTTTTGCATATAAACTTTATAGATACGCGTTGTGATGTAATGGATAACGGCTCGGAATGAGAAATCGGAGAGACGAGTTCAAATTCTAGTCGGGTTCGTTAAATTCACTTACGTGGAAATACCCCTGGGAAAGGTAGTAATCCATCTTTTATTCAGAAGCTATGGGAAGACAGACTGGATCCTATACCCTTGGTTGGCAACCAGTCTACCGCAGAAAGAGACGGCAGCCTACTGTAGGAATATCTTCTGCCTAGTCAGTCATGAATTGAAAGAGACATGATCACCCCAGCGTGTATCGCGTATCGCACTTAAATCTGACAAATATATTTTAACATCTATATTTAACTTTTTTTTATGTATTAATTCAATAAAAGATTTTACTTAGTTTTAAAGATTCTTTTGAAAACGTCCACTTTGATTTTTGGCTACATTCTTTTTAGGATCAGGCAATTTGATTGTTAAATATGTATGATACGATATATGTACAATAATCACATCCACTACTCCAACAGTTTCTTATCTCACACTTCCCACCTGTGGAACTCTCTTCCATTACACCGCTTCCCTGATAACTACAATCTTCCAAAATTTAAATGTCAATCGCAATCTTGTGTCTTCTTGAATACCGGTCATCATTTGTCCTTTCCTCAATACTCCCTATTCCCAGTTTTCATTTTCATTCCCTGTACCCCACCCCGCGTACGAGTAGCATTGGTGCCTTTCTTGGGGTAAAAGGATTAACAAAAAAGAAAAATATTTATATTAAAATTTAGACAGAACAAGCAAGATGTTACCAATAATAATCAAAGTCATTTAAATTAAAATTCAGACAGAACAAATACTGCTACTACTACTACTACTACTCATAATAATTATTCTACCTTATTGTTTTTATCCTTTTTCAAGAAACATTTCGAAATGTAATTTAAATTTTTTCGTTTACAAGTCAGTGAATTTGGTGTTTAATCATACATATATATATATATATATATATATATATATATATATATATATAACCTCCTGGGTTTGTCTCTTTTCTTTCTTTATATTTCTGTTTGAATCTAAGCTGTTCATTATCCATCTATCTCTCTCGGCCAGTTACTATCCGTCTCTCTATTTTTGTTCCCATCTATCTATCCATCCATACCAGTTTGTTCCTATCTATCTATCCATCCATCCATCCATACCAGTCTGTTCCTATCTATCTATCCATCCATACCAGTCTGCTCCTATCTATCTATCCATCCATCCATACCAGTCTGTTCCTATCTATCTATCCATCCATCCATACCAGTCTGTTCCTATCTATCTATCCATCCATCCATCCATCCATCCATCCATACCAGTCTGTTCATATCTATCCATCCATACCAGTCTGTTCATATCTGTCTATTCCTTTTTTCCCCCAAGAGTGAATATATCGTTCCTCTCGCATTCGTGTATGTTAATTCATTGCATATATGTTAACTTCCAAATGTACAAAATTTGCGCAGCAAAATATAATTTCGGATGTCTTGAGAAACAAAGCGAAAATAAAGTTAATGTCCCTTATTTTTTTTTTTTTTTAACATTGGTGACCAACCGCGACTTTCTCGACGAAAACCTCTTGTCTGAAATTTTCCGGTAACAATTTCCTTTGCTTTCACACATTCATCATGGTTTCGGTGCTTTTCACCGGAAAACAATTAGCAAAACTTCTAGGCACATCAAGCTTCATTGTTCGAAAGAAAATAGCTTGGATTTCCCGCCATGGTGCGTGAACATTTCAATTTCCTGTCGTTTCTGTTTTGAATCTGCTTAAAATTCTTTTTCCTTAATCAATGTTTAAGTTAAAATAAAAATTATTGCTGTGAATTAAAAATAAAAGTAAGTGTAATAAAGAAATGCAAAAGTAAATAAAAAAAAATACTGATTTTAATTTAAATGGATTAATTTGAGTATCTCTGATAATAAAAAAAAGCAAACAAAACTACTGTTTTAGGGACTTTCTAATTTCCGTTATTACAAATTAATGTAAGGTATCTTTAGAAGGTACTTCGTTAAAGAAGCATTATTAGACAATCCTTCTTAATCTCATTTATGCGTTTACATTTCAGCATGAATTCTTTGTCTCTGATGCTTGAATAATGGAACCAATCTGAGAGAAAGAATTTCCATTAAGAATGTTTCATTTAAATGATAAATTCCAAAGAAGGATCTGCAATGTAAATAGTCCTGATCTTGCATCTCGGCTTCAGTCAATTTCTAACCGCTTTAATATAACGTGCCTCTATCTTTTCTATAAATACTTTCATGGTAACTGTTCTTATGAACTCTCCATTATGGTACCTAAACTCTCTGAATTTAATCCTATTACTAGCTAAGTTTAACCGTAAGTTCGATGCTAATAGTTTTTTTTCTCACACTTCTTACTTGTGAAACTTTCGAATTTTTGGTTTTCATTCAACTTTGGTTTTCAAAAATTTAAATGCAATGTTAATGGTTATCTTCTGTCTTCTTAATTTCTGTTTTGTTAGTGTCATTACTCCTTAACAATGTTTTTCTTATATTCTTTCACAGGCAGTAACCCCCTTTGTGTTAGTGGCTTTGTTGCCTTGGTTGGGGTGAAGAGATTTTTTTAAAAAATAGCTTTATGAATACCTATTTTTCTATCGATTTTCAACTATTTCTTTTTTCTTACAAGATAATAAATATGAAACATTTTATATGCTAGTGTCTGTATTTGACCATATCCGATTTGTACCAATTAAAAAAAGAAAATAACGTTTTTTTTTATATACATTTAAACATAATTTCATACAATGCAAATTATTATTTAAAAGAATTGAATCAGAATTTAAAGTGCTGACTTTATTCGATTCCAATTATCTTCTGGAAATTTTCATATTTAAAGTTACTATCAGAAACATTTCCAGTAAGAATCAAGTTGGAGAATCTATCAATGAATTTTTTAGATTGTAAGAATTTTTTAAAGACAATAATGATTTGATACAATTCTTACTTATTAAGCCATAGCTGTTGAGGAAGATGTGAAGTCATACTTTTCCCAAGAGTATTTGTGCCTAAGTGAATATAAAGAACTGCACTGGGATTGGAACTCGAATCTCCGATTAAAAAATCGTGCCATTATCCATTACATCATCCGCACACCCCAGCCTATAGTACCTGGTGTTCATAAGCGATGACCCATCTAGATACTGACCAGACTTGACGTTGCTTAACTTCGGTGATCATACGGGAATCGGTGTTTCAACGTAATGTGGCCGTTAGCCTCTGATGGAAAAGTTTCTGATTTATGCCAATGCGAGTTTTCTCGAAGATGGATGGATTTACGGGCAGTGTAATGGATGTCGTTGCTGGAAGGAGGCTCGGTGAGCCGAATTTAAATTCTGGACAAGTCTCATGTGTTCAGTTTCGCACAAGGGCTCTTGAGAAGGACATTCAATTCGCCTTTTCTACCGACCACCTATGCTTTTAATGCCAGTGCAGGCTAGGATCTCTTCCCGTTCACTTTTCCTAGCTTGTAGAGGGCAACTAGAAACCATTTAATTTTCTCAGGATTACATGGCAATTTTAAGATAACAAAAATGTAATTAGTGTTTCATGACCGCCTATGTCCCAAAGGGATATTGGTATTAAAAAGATGTCCTCATGCTTTTTCAAAATGAAGGTAGTATTAAATCATTAAGCAATTGCAAAAAATACATGAAAAAAAAAAATGAATCAAAAAGTTTTTTCATTTATAAATGTTCAACATTTACTCATTATTAAACTAAATAGATAACTTTCTGGTCACCATTGAATAATTATGACTTCTACATCAACTGAAGAGTGGGTTGGGTTAGTTGATTTTACAAGTTAGTGTTACTTAATGTGCCGTGCTGTGTCTAGTCTCGGGCTACGGGAAATTCCTTAAACGCCCAACGCTGCATCATTTTCTTTAGACTTCTTTTTAGCCACTTTATATCAAGGGGGATATAATATGAATCGTTTCTTGAAGTAAGAGAGAGGGAAATAGAAAGTATGGCTGTTAACATATCGGCCACACCCATCATTATGTGGTAGCTAGTTTCGCTCTACTGAAGTAATATAGCCCTAAGGAATCTAGCTAGAATCGGAAAACATTTTCGTCCTTTATTGTTGCAACAGTACTGATCGTCTTCGCACGTTTAATATTAAAATTAAACAAAGTCAATGCACTACTTTCAGGATTTCACGCCCACTTATTTCGGGTTACCAAAGTGCCGACCAGCACGGTGAGATTTTCCATTTTGGGCTAGTCTTCACATTCTGTAACAAATGATATTATTAGTTATTTTTTAAAAAATTTAAGTTTATAACCATTGACTTAGTTCGGGTTAAGTAAATATTAGTTGTTTATATTTATGTCTGTAGATCAATGTTAGCTGAAAAGCATGAAGCCGGAAGAGAGTTCCACAGACGAGAAGCGCGAGAAAGAGAGGGAAGCTACGTTACAGCGGGCGGTTGGGGGGGAGGTACTGAAGCCGAGATTCCAGGCTGATTCTTCTTTGAATTTTGTCAAGAATTTCTAAATATATAACAGGAGCACCGGGCCTAATTTGGCAGCAATATTCAAAGCATGGAAGAATGGCAAACTTATAAGATAGATATTCATTTGGTATTCAAAAAGTAAGCCTTTAAATAACTAGCACAATGGGAAATATTCAGGTATTTTAGTCACAACGAACTGTCTAGATATATTTATGCGTGTATTTTAAGTATTTCTAACTTGTGTGCTCGGGCTGAGAGAAAAAAAAACACACCATGATTACAAAAATCAACCCCCCCCCAAAAAAAAACAAAAAACAAAACAAAAAAACAAACAAAACAAAACAAAACAAAACCCAAAACAAAACAAAAAAAAAAACAGTTAATTAACAGATTCCAATGACGAATGTAGCACTTATTCATTAATAATAAACTTTGTTTATGAGAGAGTATTTTGTAAAATAAATAGTAGGCATATTTTTTAATTAATTTGTTTAATTCCATCAATAATATTTCTATGAGGAAATGTGCCCAGAGTAATTAAATTAGGTAACATTTTATCTTAAATTTCATAAAGTGTAGAAAATAATTAACAACTCAGAAAATCCGTCGCCTCCCTCTGTCTGTTCTACAAATACTTTCATGGCAATTGCTCCGAGGAACTGCATTCGCTGGTTCCCAGACTTCATGAGTTCCAGCGCCCTACGAGGCTGGCATCCCGCTCTCACCCCTTCACTGTCGAAACTTCTAAATGTAGCCGTCTCTTCCACTCCAATAGCTTCATGTCTCGCACCTCTCGCCTGTGGAACTCCCTTCCCTTCTCCTGTTTCCTTGTGAGCTATAATCTCCAGCTATTCAAGTGTAATGTCAATCGACATCTCCAGTTGCCTTAATCTATCCACTACCCTCATCCTTTCTTCTATCACTCCTATCTGATCTTGCTATTTTCTGTAACCCCTTGCGTCCTAGTGGCTTCCCGCCTTGCTTGGGGTGAAATGCTTACAAAAAAAAAAAAAAAAAAAAAAAAAAAGAACCTTTAATAAAACTAATATTGTTTACGTTAAGTTAATGGAAAATTATTGGAGTTTTTTTATTTTAAATTAAAACAGGGGAAAAATTATCTGAAACATTTTTTAAAAAGGTAATTATAGAAGAAAATGAAAAAAATAGACAAAACATCTAATTTGTTATTACTGAAACAATGTTATTAAACTTTCATCACGATAACGTAACCGCTGAGAGTCATAGAGGTACCGCATTTACTACAGTCGTAGTAGTATTTGTGGGGGTGTCTTGGACAAGAAAGCTTGACGGATCCAAACCCTCTTCAGGTTGGTTTGAATTCAATGTTTTTTTCTTTTTAGACTAACCAAGACAGTCCCGCTATTCACCCATAGCTGGGAAGAGAAGAGATTGATTCATACCCTCCCCAGTGATATTTGCGCGTAAGTGAATGCAAAGAAATCGACTGGAATTAGAACTCGACTATTCATTACACCACCACGTATCCTATTAAACGTTAACAGTATTTAAATAGTTAAGAAATGTCAAATTTAACAAAACTCAATCTTTTGAAAATTCTTAATGGAGAAGAAAGAAAATAACTTGCAATATAAAGACGTTATTTTTATTTCTTTTATGTACTTACGTATTTGAATTTAAAGCATACGAGAATATCGATAGTCGATACTATTTCTATGTTATGTTTAGCTTATACATAACAGGATTGTTTTTCCCTTTTACTAACATTTTTTGACAGGCCTTCATTTATTTCAAACTGTGACTGGAGTTATTTTTAACTAATGATAGCAAGTTTTTTTTATATGTATAATGAAAATACTATTACTAATGTCCCAAATAAAATAATAAATAATGCCTGATTTATCACATTGGCAAGTGAAAAATATAAAAAATAATTTTCTTTATAATATCTAATCTCCTGTGTAGCAGTCAAGAAATGTTGAACAATTTCACCAGAGAAAAAAAAAAACCTTCCGAAACGATCGAGATGTGGTTTTTACAGACGAATTTGACAAATATGACAGTAAGAAATGAAGGAATATTGAAAAGGTTTTTACAGATAATAAAAAGAAAAACTACAAGGAGACTGCTGCTAAAACACACACACATACTATATATATATATATATATATATATATATATATATATATATATATATATATATATATATATATATATATATATAGAGAGAGAGAGAGAGAGAGAGATTTGGAATATTACATTCACGTGCTATGATTTGCAAGGGAAGGTAGCGGGTAATATGCTTGATATGAAGGAATAAGTTTATCACAAAAATCACAAGAGGGGTCATAAGAGAGCTAACATTACTCAGAACAAAAGGGAAACTATGAAAAGCCATGTTCGCTCACACACTGGAAGCGTATAGAATATATAGAGAGGAAGGAAGTCATATTTAAAAATTTTATGCCGTTTTGGTCAGCCATACTTTTCAAAGTGAGGAAACTTGGCTTTCATTTGCCATAACTCAGACTCAAATATTTTAGATGCACTTTTGAAATTTGTTGACAGGTAACACGCATATATTATAGTTACTTGCTCATGCCTCGGGAATAAAAGAGAGTCACATTCCTTATGTCGAGTCAGAATTGATAGAGGGATGAGTTACTTGATAATAGCTACGGGGTTGACGTCAGAGATCAAACCCGGGGTGAAAGACATGGCGTACTATGCTGGCCATGTATGAGTAGCTACTGTCAACCTAATAAAAATATTCTAGAGACCTTTTTAGTATTATGAGAAGTTACCACATGTACAAATGGACTCGTCATTCTATTTTCAGTACTAAGTAATTTTTTGAAATCCATTTAATCAATCATCACACTAACTTTCTTCGACTTAAATTTCGGTGACTCATCGGCGCTAAGGGCAATTTTATTTTTGGTAGATTAAAGAAAAATCGATTCTAATTATTTTTTTTATACATATAGACATTATGATGCCTTGGAACATTTTGTTGATAGAAATATAAATAATATTTAATTTAAGAAATAGTCTAAAACTTGCTTCATGCATGTAAAAGGTATTTTTACAACTGATTTTATGCTATTAAATTAATTTTCTTGCTATTAAAGTAACAAAACAAAAACCAAAAAAAAGACAAAAAAACAAAAAACCAAAACAAAAAAAAACAAAACAAAACACCCCCCCCAAAAAAAACAAAACAAAAAAAAAAAAAAAAAAAAAAAAAAAAACAAAAAAACTTTAGAGTAGACATTTAAATTATTGTAATACATTTTGAAATACACATAATCTCTTAAAATAAATGCTGGTCCCTAATTACTATTGGTATTTCCTAAGTTTAGCTTAATATATTGGAATTAAAATGAATTATAATTAAAAGGAAGCAACCCTAGAAAGGACAAGAATTATACCCCTTATTTTGAGGGTGTAGTACTCAGTAAATATAAAAAGGCGACACATTGGCACTGTAGAGAAATGGGCATCACCAGGTCTCCTTGCCCAAGACACACAACGCATGAATGCATACTTCGACTTTTAGTCCAGATATTTGGAAGGAACAATTTTTTTTTTTTACAATGTTTTTCACTCTAAATGTTCTAAGAGCCACTCGAGGGAGAGGGTTACAGAGCAAGATAAGCCATCCCAAGCAAGGAGTTAATGCCAACAAGAGGGATCTGGAAACCCAATCCTAAGCAGGAAACAACGGGTAAACCTATTCATTAGACCGGGGATGAATGTGAAGCGGACGATAGGCG